GGACAGCCACTGTGTCTTCTCTCCCTACAACCTGCACTTAGTTGATGCTCGATCGATGTATGTTTAATTCATGATAAGGACTGTTTTCCCCCTTCCAGTTTGGTGCCCTTGTAGGAGTTCAAGAACGGCAGATGTGGAAAGAAGCATCCAGACCCTGCCCTGTGTGCCAGGGGCTTCTCAAATCCCTTTATCCCTGACTACCCCAACCCTCCCGCCCTGAGACTCCTAAAGTCATCCCCATTCACTCAGTCACTCGACAAACTTTTCTTAAGAACCTACTCCATTCTAGGCACCCACGGTCATGCCTTGCGTGGGGTCGTGAGCATGGCAGGTCCTCAGTGTTTGTTGACTTTGAACTAGAAGAAACAAAACGAGATTTCCGGGAAGTGGCTGTCCACACCTGTTCTAACTTGATCCTCATCACGGCCTCCACGGGAGGGGTTATGACTGTTTTACAGTTAAGGGAACTGGGGGAAAGGTGAAGGGAGATAGGCACCCGGGGGCCCCCGGGGAACACGGAGCAGGGCTGGAGACACAGGGGCACCTGCCCAGGGCAGGAGCAGAGGCCTGATTTCTGAAGCCCAACCCCTGGTAGCTGCACGGGGCAGGGGGGACAGCTGTGAAACCACAGACACGACAACCTGGAGCCAGGCCCGAAGGCCACTCAGCCTTGGAGCCCAAACCGTTCCAGAAAACACAGGCTCCACGGCTGTTCTCCAGACTGGTGAGCAGGTAAAAACTCGGCCAGAGCTGACTCAATGCCTATTAATCAAACACGATGACTTGGTTTTCTTTACAGACAAGTGACAACAGAGATGATCATAACTCATACTTGGACCTGGCCTCCCTGAACCAGGATTTGGAAGGGGAAAAAAAGAGAGAGAGATCAGAGTAACAGCCCACAGAACCCACAGAACGAATAAAGATAAACAATGAGCAAAGCCAATGGCTGTTCTTTTACTTCTACCAATGTTATTAAATCGTGTTCTGAAAGGGCGTCACAAAGGCATACTCTGTCATCTGAGACTAAATCGGTGTGACCACAGCTAAATTCAGGAGAGAACCTTATACCCCTGGGGGACAAGGTGTCACCTGGCCATAAACTTGGGGTGGGGGGCGAGGAGCGTGGGGAGGGAAGCCCAGGCAGCCTGGTGCGAGCAGTCTTGGCCCCGGTGAGAGGTGGGCTCAGTGTGATGGCCCCTCAGTGTGGTAGCAGACCCGCCCCTGCCCTGGACCAAGGCATCATCTAATCTCTCACCTGGGCTGCTGCACTGGCCCACTCTGCTCCCTCCTTAACTCCAGAGTCGAGTCTACAAACCAAGACTACCCTGCTGTTCGAGCAAACCTTCTAGAACACAGAACTAGCCCTGTCTCTCACATGCAACCCAAATGTCCCAAAGAACCCCAGTCCCCCAAAGTCACCCTTCCCTTTTATAGCTACTGACAATGACCTGTCTGCCCCAGCCCATTAGATGGACAGGAAATCCGAGCTCTCTCTGACGGCTCTGGTTCCCAGACACGGGATGGGTGTCTTCCATGTCTCTGGTCACTTTTTATTCTGAATTCTCCTCTGACCCCTTCTAAGTTGGTCAGAATTCCTCGGGTGGCAAGTTAACAGAAGCACCCTGCAAACCAGCTAGAAGATCGGGGAAGATTTATTGGAGAGCTCCCTTTCAGGGGGCCAAGGCACAGTGGGCTTCACCAGAGCCTGGAAGGCCGAGGGACTTTCTCTCCGCCCCCTTCCCTGCCCCCTCTGGTGGGTGGCAGCTCAGTCCCTCTGCTCCGCTTTCTCAACAGCCAGGAAGCTACTGCACAGGCTGCCTCAGTTTCTCCATGACCGAGGAATAGCCACTCTCAGGATGCAGAGTTCGTAAATCCCAGGGAAGGATTCGGACTGAGTCCGCCCAGACCAGCTGGTCTTTTCTGTATCCACCACCTATGGTCCCTCTCACTCACCCAGCCTGAATGCTTGCATTGGGCCGGTCCAGGGTGGCCCACTGCTCATCAAGTCCCATGTTGAGAGGAGAGCATACCCTCTCTCAGGGGGGCAAAAGTGAGGAGCAGAGCAGTCTTGGATGATACTGTGGTCTGTGGCTGTCTGGAGAACCACAGAACACAGACAGACAACATATCTGGGGTATTATAGTTTCATTGGGGGGACAATCAGGGAAAACATCTAAAAAGAGTACTTGGGGTGGGAGGAGGTGATGATGGAAAAATTGTTGGGAAACTAGAAGAGAGGATGGAGCATTTTTTTAGGAGGACGGGACCATTCTGGATAAAACCAAGAAATATCCAGTATCCCCCCACCCCTGACTTCGAGCAGCTGCTGGTGCCCCCCCCCCCCCCCCCCGTCGCACACCCACAGCACCTCCTCCCTCCTGGGTGCCAGGACACCGCTACTGTGCAGAGGGGACTTTTTCTGAAGATGGGGACCGCCCACTGAGGCCTGGCCTGGGCGGCCCTTAGGGACAGAAAGCTTCTAAATGACAGTATTTCAACTAGCCTGCTGGTCACAGTTGTGGGTGCGGCTTTCTCCTAGCACCCCAGTCCTCCAAAGGACCCCCCGCCACTGGGTGCAAGGGTTTTGTCTGACTTCATTGTTGTTTGTTTTTAACCTGTTACATGTAGCAGGTTCGAGTCCAGACTTCCCTGACCTCGTAGGCTGCCTTCCTGTCAGATTCCGCAGGGCTGAGGTGAGGAACCATCTGCTGTGACTTGTAAAAGTGTTCCCAGGGGAGACTGGTAGGAGAGGGGACCAAGCAGGACAGAGAAGGAAAAGAAGTCCCAGCCTCCTGCACCTCACAGCGTCCCCAGGGGGTTCACTGCCACAGGGGGAGTTCTTCACTTCCGGTCAGTGGTGAAGCATGCCTGGGGGGTTGGGGTCAGGTAGCAGTACCCCCATCCCTGAGCAGACTGCGGTCTAGCTGCCCGAGGACAGTCCTTCTAAGAGAGATACAGGTTGGGGGAGCAAGGGGACTGACTGGAAGCACAAGGGAAGCCCTGCCGGGGAGGAATGGGGCAGATCGCTTCTGTGCCTGCTTCCTAGACCCTTCTAGAAGTGGGGCTTCCCCCCCGCCTGTCCTCCACTCCCTGGCCCTCCACTGGCCCCACCCCGGCCAGACCCCAGCTAAGCCGGCCCGCACTTGCCCACTCGGGCTTCTGTCCACCCTGACTCTCCGTCGGGAGTAAAGGTCCCTCCTCCCTGTTTAAACCCTGCAAGGTGCTCCTGCAGTACTCCCCCCCCTCCCCCCCCCCCCCCCCCCCCCCCGCGCCCCAGCACCTCGTGCTCTCTCTCACCTCCCCTGGGCCCCTCAGGCCCATGGCTGGCACTCCCCACAGGCTGAGGTTGGCCCTGAGGTCAGAGCCTCTGCTCTCTGCTCACAGCACAGCTGGCCACGGACAGGCTCCAGGGGCACGTGCTGAAGTCCTCGGGGAGCCTCCGGCTAACCCATCAACTCTCTCTCTGAACCCACCCACCCATCGCCTCCTGCCAGGAGCCCCCTCTGCCCAAGATCACCTGATTAGGGCCAGTAAAGCCATATCCTGTCCCAGCATTTGGGAAGATGTGTCACCCTGTCACCTTCAAATGAATGGAGAGATCTGGTCAACAAACTCTTTCTTAGCTTCCCCATAAAGATTCCCCTGTACCATCCGGACTAGGCTCTTTGCACCAGAAGAGAGGCAGGGGAAAGAGGTGAGAAAAGGAGGAGAAACCCAGGCTCTGCCCAAGCTGATTGGAGACCACCCCCCTGCTAAAGGCAGTTAGAGACTAACCTACACCAGGAAAGAGCCAGGGACTCGGACTGAGGCCTGCGAGATTTCTGGGGAGAGCGGTGTGGGAGCGATCAGGAAAGGCTGCCTGAATGAAGGGGTGGAGAGGGGGAGGACTGGAGTGAACACGGCATCGCAGTTTCCTGAACTTGGGCGCAGTTCTCCAGGGCCTGTGCCTGTCCGTGTGTGCCCTCCAGGAAAAGCCCCACACATTGCATTCCTCAGATACTTTCTGCTCAGATCCTAACACCGCTGCTTAAGCTTATAAGCTCCCGCACCAGGCCCACCTGTTGGGACAGGTCCAGAGGTTGTTCTGAGAGGCTGAACCAGAGTCACAGACTCCAGGGACAGGCCCCAGGTCGGCCTCCCCAAAGCCCCATACTGCTCTGCCCTGCCTGCCATTAGGATCCCTGGGCCAGCTCCTGAAACACGCCAGGGCAGGCCCCGCCTGGGGAACCCGGCTCTGCAGGTGCATCTTGGCATTACTGCATTTGCTGTCTTTGTTGTTTGGAAGTTTTAAACTTTTTTTAGCATTTTATTTCAAATTTACAGGAAAGTTGGAAGAATGATGCAAAGTATAATACTTGTACACTCGTTGCCAAGATTTACCTGTTATTTGGATGTTAATCCATCTGCTTTATTGTTTTCTGTGTGTGTGTGTATGTCTGCATTTCTGAACCACGTAAAAGTAAGTTAGAAGCATGGTGACCCTAAATACACACTGAGCCCTGAGAGTGTGCTTTTTAAGAACACCCTCCACCTGCCCACACTGCGGTTATCCGGATCGGGAGTTTGGACATCGATGCACTACCACTGTTCAACCTACACCACAGTCAACTTTCCAACTGTACCATCAGGCACTGTCACTCGGACAATGCTTTCTGGACAATCAGAATACGCGCCCCCTCCCACCCCGGGCTGGGAAGCCTGGCCAGGGTGAGACCCCCATCTCCCCTCTCCACTGCGGCGCACCCTGCTCTCAGGCCACGAACACAGCCTGGACCCTCTCCCCTTTCCCATCCCTCTCTCGCAGAGCTACAGCCCAGGCAAAGGCAGCGGGTGGCAGCGGCAGAAAAAAGGCATTAACCCCTTCTCTGCAGGCTCCAGGCAGAGTTTGGTCCCTGGCTGCCCCGCAAGAAAGGGCTTCCCGGCACCGCTATAAATAACCTCGCTGGGTGGGGAAAGCGGTCCGAATCCTTCTGGCCCGGGGGAGGGGCAGGCGGGGTGGGACCTCCACGCTGGGAGGTGTGCTCCGGTCCCCAGCCACAGCGGGCATGGGGCGTCCCGCAGCGCCCTCGCGCCTCCTCCGCGTCCCACAACCCCTCCTCTGCCTCCTCTGCCTCCTTCTGCCACTGCTCAGAGTAAGTGTGGGGAGCAGGGGTTGCGTCTCTGGGTGGGGGCACCGGGAGCTGGGGATTGGGCGGGGGTCTCAGCGCCCAATTCCTGGGCCAGGTGAGGGAGGCGCTGGGCTTGGTGGCCGGGTCGGGTTGGGGATTCCTGTGCCCCGTGATGGGGTGCTGATCTCCTGCCTGGAGGGGGGGTAAGTGGAGGAGAGAAGAACTACCAGCAGCTCGGATAGGACGGCGAGGCCTTGGGGATGACGGGGCGCACTGGCTGACCTAGTATCGGGTCCAGGCCCCTCCTCAGGGCCAGAAATTCCTTACCCCGTCTGTTCTTTCACTTCTGCTATGGATCCGGGTCCAGAAGCCCGGACCGCCCTACCTCTGCAGCCCTCCCCAAAGCCAATTCACCTAATGATTTCCCCCCAACTCAACTACTTCCTGAGTGTTTTCTAAACTGACCAGCTCGTTTTCCCTTGTTTTTACTGTTCTGTTGATGTGGAAGTATTTTTTAGAAGCACTGTCTGAAGGCGTGGCTTACTTAATTTTATATTCCTAGTAATGCTCAAGTCCTGCATCCTCTTAGCTGTCATTTTCTGCCTGATCTAACTTTAACCATGCTTAGGAAGCCTGTCAGCCTGTCAAAAGTCACCGTATTCAAAATTTGAATTTTTTGAGATATTGTTTCAAATCCACCGGAGAGAAGGCTTGATCGCCCAATAAGCTCATTTCATTCATTCTACTTAGCAGCTACGCTGGGCTTACCCTGTGCTCTGCATAGGTACCAGCACTGACATACCTCACCTATATTTTAAACTTCACAACAGCCCCAGGAGATACGGCCTTCAACATACCCATTTTACGGATGAGGAAGCCGAGGCCAGGTCATGTGTCCCAGGTCACTGGGCTGGTGAGTGGCAGGGCCAGGATGCAAACTAGGCAGCCCCATTCCGGGTTCCCTTCACTTAATGAAAATTTTATTTTAATGTGATTTCACTAATAATGTCGAGTTACTTTTAGGACACTCAGATGCCAAAACATTTCAGAGAAGGGTGACTCTTGGCAAACGACATTAGCTGAGTTGACAACTAAGGAGATGATTTTAGGCCCGCTGTCCTGTTAAAGGCCCCCTGCTGGCTCCCTCTCCCTTTTCTGAGGGCCTAGGTATTTCCTCCCTCGCTCCCTCCCCTGTCCTTCCCCCCACCCTCCAGACACCTGTGTGCTGGGCGCAGGGCTCAGCAGGTGAGGGGAGACGGACCCAAGAAAGAGAGGGAGCTGCCGGCTTCCAGACACAACAGAACACACAATGAAGCAAGGCCTGGAAGTTTCTCTGGGGGAGTAGCAGGCTGAATTAGGACTGGAAGGGAGAGTGGGACAGCTTGGGGACAGGGAGCTGGAGAACAGACCCCGGCATGGGAGAGCCACCGGAAACAGCTGAGAGGCTCTGGGAGTCCTCACCTGAGGACCAGCACCTGATAAGTTGGAAACAAGTATCAAAGCTCTCTCTTCCAGGAAGCCGGCCCAGTGGCTCTAGAAATAACGAGCCGCTTCCTTCCAGTGACATCCCCTCCCTCACTCTGTCTCAGGCAACCTTACTGCCTACTGCAGACTCTTGTCTGCTCTGGGCCCAGACTGCCTCTTCCTTGCCACTGCCTCTCCTCTCTCCCCCTTTCTCTCTCCTTCTCTCTGCCCCATCTTTCCCTCTCTGCCTCACCCTCTCCTCCTTCCCTCTCTCATCCCACCTCCTCCTTGGAGAGGAGCACAGAGCCTGAGTTTCTCCCACCTCAATCCCTCGCCCAGGCTCAGTGAAACCAGTGAATGGAAGGGAAAGGTGGGGAGGAACGCTCTCACTCCCAGAACAGTCCGCTCTGACCTTGCACAGAGAAGGAGGTGGCAGGCCACGGCTCACCCCCTTCCCCTCTGGTTACTGGCAGTACAGCTGCAAGACCTGTGGTCCTGTAAATCTCCCCAGCTTAGGCCAGGGACTAAATTTAGATGAAGCTTTGTCCCCAGGCCAGGAAGGAGCATTAGGCTCAGCTAGACCCCCTGGCTCCGGGGAAGTGGCATCTTTGAGGCCTGCCTGGCCCCTGGGGCACAGGTTCTGCCTGGAAAGGGCTTAAGGTGGAGGAAGAGCAGCTGGTGTCTTGGCTCAGACTCGCTGTCCCCTCCCCCTGCCAAGACCTCCCTGTTCTAAGGTGAGGGCTCCCAGTGCCAGGCACAGAGTGAAAACAAAAATTCAGACAGGAGGAAATCTGATGAGCAGGAAAAGCCCAGCACCTGAGCTCCCGGAACTGGAGCTGAGGATGCAGCTCTCCCCGCCTGAGACCCACCCAGCCAACCCGCCAGCAGACGTGTACTGAGACCCACCCTGTGCCAAGCTCGGGACTGGGAACCAGGCAAGAGGAGGGAGCAGCCCCCTGCCCGGGCACAGCCGAGAGCTGATCAGTACAGAAGCCCTAGATGTTCCTTACCGCAGCAACGATAATAGGTCTACAGGGCACTTGGGATTATAGCTTCCTGTTTCTCTTGCACCGGGCACTGCCAGGTTGGCTGGGCTGCCTCCACTCCTGCTGTGACCCAGCTCTCTCCCTCCAGTCCCCACCCCTGCACCGTGGGTAAGAGCAGCTTCCTACTCCAGTTTCCTCCCATGCCCCACCCCTAGCCACCCCGTCTGGGGCTCAGGTTCTCTCAGCATCCATGGATCACAGGCCTTCGCTTCTTCCCCCAGGACCAGCCCTCCTGGGTATATCTGGCCAAGCCCCAGGCCATCCCATCCTGCCTCAGCCCCTGGCCTGCCATGTGGCCTGGGCGGATGACTTCCTTTCTCTGAGACCCAGTGGCCACGTCTGTGAAATGGGTTGATTTGCAGCTACCTCAGAGGCTGTTGAGAGAATTAAATGAGCTGTTTAGTGCTGTGTCTTGTACACAGTAAGTGCCAACTTGACACCAGACAAGCCTGTCTTTCCCACCTGTACCAGGCATGTCTTCTGGGGACCACACAAACCCCTTGGTCTGCCCCAGGGAGGGAATGTGATGTATGAGGGCTGCTGGATCCTGCCTTGGGGATGCCCTGGGACAAACACTGACCCAGCTACCGGGAAGGAAACATCTGCCAGGCAGGGGGAGGGGGGAGGGCTACCCACTAGTAGGGCAATGCTACTGGAATCCTAAAATTGGGAATGTCAAGGCCATCCTGGCACACACACACACACCACACGTGTGCACATGACTCATGCACATGCACTGGCCCCAGAGTAGAAGTAGTGGCCTTGGGAGGAACGAGAGGCAAGCGTCGGTGTCTGAGAGTGCGTTCTCTTGGTCAGTCCCACACCATGAGTTTTCCAGCCTCTTAGCCTTTGCACGTGCTCTGTCATCTACCCAGGATGCTCTTCCCAGCCCTGACCTTACCAGCTGGGCAAAATCCCACTCAACCTTCAAAGCCCACATCAGCATGACCACCTCCATGACTGACCCCATTTCTCCTTAGCAACATGTAGATGCTGTGACCAGTTGGCCACCATCCATCTTTTCCACCAGAAGGTGGTCCCCTGAAGCACAGAGACAGCCACACCTACTTTATCCCTCCACGCACAGCACCTACTTGCATGATTTCCTCAGGAGATTGGATCCTGGGTGGTTTTTATCTTTTGGACAGGGTGGCCATTGTCACAACAACCATGTCTATTCTCTGTGAGTGCTCACATTGGCACAGCAGGCCTTCCTTTTTCCCTACTCATTCTCTGGTTGTCCTCAAAGGGCCGCCTCTTCCAGGAAGCCTCCCTTGTCTTCCCACGTCCAGGTGAGGAGTCTCTCCCATGTGTTGACCTCACACCTTCTGCACTGCCTGTTTGCCTGTGGGGGGGCAGTGTGCAATCACCCGCCCTCCCCACTCCCTCCTGCACCTTCTAAGTCTAGGGGATCCCCATGTGGTCTGAGGCTACCCAAGTGCACCCACTGGGTCCCCCAGCCAGGGTCTGACACACAGTAGACATACAGCACGGATTTACTGGGTAAATGAACCACTGGCAGCCTCCTCCCAGCTTTCTGACAGAAGGATGCAAGCCCCCTCTGAGGGGTGCACCCCATCCTGGGGAGGAGACCTTTGGGGGCTGAGGGACGGATAGAGGAGGTTCCTATCTCAGAGGTCAAGCCATACCAGACCACATCTGAAGGCAGGTTCCAGATCTGGCCAGGCTGCTATTCCACCATTTGGCCTTGGGCCCTTCCCACCTCAGTTTCCCACTCTGTACAACAGGGGTAAGAGAAGTAAGGAATGAATGACAGAACAGGGCAGGGGACAGATGTGTGCTGTGAATGGCAGGCCAGGGCCGGACTCTGACCCTTGTTTCTCCTATTGCCTAGGCAGCTGGGCCACGCCAGGCACCTGAAGACCAGCACCCGTGGGCATTGCCAGAGCAGCACTGCCACACCGCCACCACCCTGGCCAACGTCTCAGGTAAGCTCACCCCCTGCCAGCACCCTGGGCAGCCCCCGGAGATGAGGGTGGGTCCCCTGGGCCTGCTGGCCTGCAGGAGGAAGAGGTTCTCCCAGGCCAGCCCAGGCTTGTGGGGTGGTGAATAGTGACGGGTTTCCAACTTGGCTCATGTCTCTGCCCTTGGGCAGCCCCCTTCCACATGAGGGGGTTCAGGCTCTTCCCTGATGATGAAGGGCTTGGCTGGGAGTCATCCTCCAGCTCCCAGTTCCCTGCGTCTGCACCTAACTTCACCTAACGGAAGCCAAGGGAGCTACATTCAGGAGCCTGAGGAGGGACCACCCCTGTGCTTTTAAACCTGGGCAACACCAGCAGAAGGTGTAAAATACATTTTCTGGTTGCCATGACTACAAGGGTTCCTCCTCATAAGCACCTGTGAAGCAGCAGCCAGGCCTCTGGGGTCTGAGCCCTTGGAGATTTCCAGCTGCTGGTTCAGAGTCAGGGTCAGCCACTGCAGAGGTCAGAACAGCCCTGGGCTCCCACGGGCCACACCAGTGTCCTGGCCTTCTCAGGTTGGCATCCACAGAGGCAGCCTGGAAGGGGGAAGGCTGGGAGTGCCTCTGGAGTCTGGAGACAAGGGTGCCAGTCGGCCCTGAGACCCAGCACTGAATGCAGCCTAAGCTGGACAGGGAAGGGGACAGCCTTGTCCCCTCCTTATGGCCTGCCCTCCTTACAGTGCAGGGGTCAAGAGCTCAGGTATTGGGGTCAGACGGACCCGAGTCTGGTGCCCAGCTCCTCCACCAGCAACTGTGTGACTCTGGGCCAGTCCCCTAACCCTCCTGTGTTGTTTGCTAGGACTGCAGGGACATGCTGCGGGAGGAGGGGCTTAAAAAACAGACATTTATTTTCTCACGATTCTGGAGGCTGGAAGTCCAAGGTCAAATGTCAGCAGTTAGTTCCTTCAGACGCCTCTCTCTTCAGCCTGAGATGGCCGTCTTCCCCTTGCCTCTTGATTTTCTGTGTGTGTGTGTGTGTGTCCTAACCTCCTCTTCGTAAAAGGAAGCTGTCATTTGGGATCAGGGCCCATCCTAATGACTTAATTAAATGACTATCTCCAAATAAGGTCACATTCTGAGGTACTGGGGGTTAGGACTTCAGCACACGAATTTTCAGGGACACGATTCAACCCATAATACCTCCTGAGCCTCCGTTTCCTCCTCTGTGATAAAATGGCCAAAACTCACCTCCGGAACCTACGGAGAGGCTGAGTGAGAGACCTGGGCGGGCCCGCACGGCCACGTCGGGTGGAACGGAGCCCCCCTATCAGGGGCCCCACCGCCCCCTTCGGAGCTTCCTGCTGTTGGAGGCAGTGCTGCCCTCTCCACGGGCCCACGGCCTTCGTTCTGCCTCCCCTCCCCTCCCCCCTCTCCCCTCCCCTCCCCTCCCCCCTCTCCTCTCTCCTCCCCTCCCCTGCAGCGCCAGGCACAGCCTCTGGCCTTCCTGGTCAGCTCTGAAAACCGGCTCCCCGTCCTCCCCTCCTGGGGAGGAGGCCCCCAACTTTTCCAAACACAAGGCCTCCCCTGCGTAACTTGTAATCCCGTTCATCTGTTTTTAAACAGGATACATGTTATACCCACACTCCTCCCCGACACACACACATGCATTTGGGGGAAAATCTAAATCAACAAAGAAGACCAGAAGTGACCCTTACCCCACAACCCATGGGTTTTTATAATACTTGTACGCCTCAGGAGTTTATCAATCCATAGAACCTCATGTTTTCTCATTTTTTTTTATTTTTAAGTAAAACTGGGGCAATCTTGTGTCCACAGTTTTGTAACCTGCTTTTCCCTCTCATAACACAGAGTGAACATTTCCCCATGCCATTAAATATTCATCCCGCACGTGGTGCTGCCTAGCAGCCGTGGTGGGAACACATCATCCCTCATTAGCCACGTCCCTGCATGGGGCGTGTGGGCTGCGAGATGCCCTTGGACTTGCTCAGGTCCCTACGTGGTCACGATCTCCTTTTCAGTGCCCACTGACTGCAGAAATGCATAATGACTGACATAAAGTCCAAAACCAAGTAAAAACAAACAATCTATTGCTCAGACCAACATGCATTTGATGAAACTGAGAAAGTGGCATGCCGGGAAAGGATCGACCTTGGGGAGAGCGCTCCTCCGGGGAACGAGCATGGGGGTAAAGGTGGAAGTGGTTGGTAATGATCTCAGTTCCGATTGGGTGAGAAAATTTTCACTCCTACACACAAACTTCCATGAAAAGCAAAGACAAAAAATAAAGTTAGGCCAGACTTGGGCTCAGGGTGCTAAGGGGTTATGAATCAAAGGCTCTGATCTGTCAAACGGTATGCCCTTGACCAAGGCCCCAGTAGAGGAAACACACATCCCGTTGCAAAGGGACTTCTGGCACGCTTTACACAAATTATTTGTTTCATTCATCACAGGGGTATATATATTGTAAGCCGTATTATGTATTTGGTCCATAAAGCCATATAAGGTCCAGTGGATTCAGGGTTGGGGGTCCCTTAAAATCACCCCTCAATCCAATACACATGCACACACACACACCAGAGCTGGTCAGATGGGAGCAGAGCATTGGCCCAGGAAACCAGGCTGCCACCAAAACATTTGTTCCCTCCTTGGTGACTCTCTGAGTGCAATCTGATGAGTGCGGGGCCTGGTTAGCGAACATGACCAGCCCTGCCCTCAGGGAGTCCCAGGCTGGTCGAGGAAACAGTAGAAAAACTGATGACCCCGGTGTGACGTAGACCAGCTCCTAGAAGACAGAGGCACCAAGGACGGCCACCCAACCCAGACGAGACAAAGGAGGCGAGAGGGAAGCTGAAGGGGGGAGGATGAGTGGGTATCAGCTGCAGGGGCTGGAGGGAGAGGGGACTGGGACGCCCCCAGCAGAGGGAATAGCTCGAGCCCAGGTTCAGAGATATGGAGCCACTCCAGGGACTGAGTGACAAGCTGTTCCAAAGGGCATCTCCAGTGAGTGGGAGGGAAAAGACGGGAGATAAAGGATTACGAGGAATGTCCTTTGCGGTGCTGGAAAGCGGGGCTCCCTCCTGAGGGCCATGGAGAGCCACTCCTGTCCCTGCCCAGTAGCCCAACCCGGCTTTTGCAGAAAAGGATGGCCTGGGAGGGGTCCGAGGGGTCGTTCTTTCCCTTCTCTGTCTTCCCTTTGCCCACCCGCAAGGGAGAATGTGGGACCCGAAGGTTGCTGAGGGCCCTCCCAGGCCCTTCACAGCCTGGTCTCACAGTTCAGCGTGAAAACACCAGTCCACCTCCCATGTGCCCAGGGGGACTGGGGTGGGCCGGAGTTAGGAGAATGTGCCTGGCCTAGGGACACCATCCCTAGTGTCACAGTGCAAGAGTGAGCCACCTTCTGGTCTCTCTGGAGCCTCCGTGGCCTCAGCAGCAACCCTACACCCGTACCCCAGCTCCCCACGCCCGTCTCTTCAGTTGGGCATGCACAGCCCCTCAGACGCCAGCACAGACCCTGTCCCCTTACATCTGCTTCCGGCCGACACCCGATGGGCAGTGGGGTGATGGGAGAGTGTATGACGCCGTGAGGACACGTGTGACTTCGTGTGTGTTTCCCTTGTGCTCTGAGCACCAGTTTCATGCCAGGCCTCGGGCTGTGCCCGACAGCCGTGATGGGTGCCTGAGCTTGCCAGGACCGGGTCACTGCCACTGCAGGTGACATCAGGACGGAGCCAGAGTTCCTGCCTCACCCCGTGATGCTCCTGACACACAGGTGTCTTCTCCAGCACCTGTCACACTTCCCTGAGTTTTTTTGCAACCTGTCCCGCCAGCCTGGGGCACACGCTGTCCCAAATCCCCTTCCCATGGCCTCCATCCCAGGAGCCTCCCACCCACCTCTGCTTCCTCAGTCAGCAAAGAGGCCCAAACATACTTCTCTGTAGTTGATTTAATCTAATTGAGGGACATTGTAGCTCTTGACAGTTTTTTCCTCATTCTTTTCCCTGTTTGCAAACGATAAAGTGAGCAGTAGTCAGTTTGTTCCAAAGCCACCACCTTGCTCAGTTTCCTCTGTTGCACCTAGAATAACAGACAACTGTGCCTACAATATCGACATAAGACCCGTAAAGAAATGGCCCTGCCTCCCAGGAACCAGGAGGCCTTGGGTCTGCGGGGCCGTGCTCGGCCCTGGCTGGGCCTGTCAAAGTGCAGGATGGCCTTTGGCTCTGCCACCAAAGTGGTCACTCCCACAGGAGCCTTCATTACATGGGACAGTAAGAGTAGCCAGGCCTCCCAGGCTGACCTCTCATTCTGCAGAGAGCCACATGTGAGATGAGAAGCCCTTGGACTCCGGTCACTGGGCACTTGCCACTCCCTGACCTAGCTGCTTCCCCTGCATGGTGGGGGCCATTTGCTGGTTCTGAGCCAGTTGCTAACTTAGCTCCACTTCCCCTTTCCCAGTTCTGTGAACGGTATGCGGAGGGCCCTCCCATTCGGACACAGAGGAGACTGTCTCTTGAAGATGGGGGCTGACCCTGCCCATCACACTCCAGCCCTCGTGGCATCCCATGAGGCAGGGCTCATTCTAGGGCTGGGGACAGGACTCTGCCTAGGACTCAACTTCTCCCCACTCCCTGGCTCCAGGCACTGGTTATTATGGACACCAAGAAACCTCCGTCCCTGCTCTCTGTGGCTGCCCAGAACTGAGCCAAGGGCTCTAATTGTCTATTCAGGAGGCAGAGGATAGACCTGGCCAGGTGGCCTGCACCTTGTACCTGCCAGTCAGCCAGCCTGGAGAGAATCCCAGGCTGAACCCTGGTCTCAGGGCTCTGTTCTCTGGCTCTGCCCAGGCAGGGACGGCAGCACAACCCTGGCAGCTGGTTAGACTGGGCACGCCAAGGCAGCCCAGCTGCCTCCTCCCTGCTCCCCGCTCTGGGCATAGTGCTGGGTCAGGGTGGGCTCAGCCTTCTCTGGCAGCTTTGCTCCTAGTGGAGGCTGGCAAGGGAGCCAGGACTGGGTTCCAGTTCTCCCTGCCCCCTAAAGGTAGAACACACAACACACACACACATGTATCTCTTCCTCATTCATTGCATCTCAAAACACAGAACCAGAGACTCTCAGGGCTGGGACAGCCTCAGAGAGCAGAAACAGCCCCAGAAGAGAGGTAACAAGCTCTATTATTACCTCTGGGGCAACAAAACTGGCATAACAAACAGGAAGAGTAGAGACAGGCAGGACCAGACCCCTGCCTGAGTTGGGGTGTCCCATACCCCAGCCCCTGTCTCCTGAACCCAGATCTCCCCGATCAGCAGGCATGAACAGAGGGGGCTCACCCTGGGCACTCAGAATGGAGCCACAACAGATTATAGAAGGGGTAGTCCTGGGGTGGGCAGGGCACTAAGCAAATTCCACAGAAGGGTTTTGGTTCCTCTACTCTTGCTGTGGGGCCTGATCTGGGGCCTGATCTGGGGCCTGATCTGGGGCCTGCCCCCCCCCACCACCACCACAGAAACCACTCCCAGGTGGCCAGGCCCAAGACGGGAGGAGAGACTGAATTCTCCCCCGGCCCACAGTAGTTAGACCCTTGTGTCTGATGTCCCCCAGATAACTACAGACAATTTCTCCCTGGACTGTACCACCAAATCCTCTCTCCAGTCCCTTTTCATCAGGGCTGGTTCCCTTCAGAAATCCCTCTCTCGGTCCCAGCAACCCCTCCCGGAAGACTGGTTCAGGTCTTCACCCATTCAGGACACTTGTTCTCACTAGACTTTTCAGTGGCCTTCCCGTTTCTCTCGAAGCCCCTCTGATCCACTTACTTCCCAGAGGCCACAAGGAGCTTTACTGGAGGGCAGCTTTACTGCACGTGGACTCTCGCCCCCGCTCCCTGCTACCCCGGGTGTCCTAGCTTAGGGAGAAGAAACTCATACAGGGAGCCGCCCAATTCTGGTTTTCAGTGAGGCAGACTGCAGTAGGTTCCTCGGGCGGGTTAGGGGGCGCGCTTTGCTGCCCCAGCACCTTCGATCCTCAGCCAGGGCATTCAGCCACCCCAGGACCCTGCTCTGCATCCCCCGCCCTCCCTTCCATCCTTCTCTAGACCAGGGCAGGGCCTGAGAAAGCGGTCTCCAGGCAAGATCCCCGCGGAGGTCAGGAGCAGCGGCCCAGCCCCGCCCCCTAACGCCGCTATTGGCCGCGACCAAAAGGGTGGGCCCGCAGCTCCCCGCCCCTAAAGTCCGGATTTAGTGTCTCCCACTCTAGCACCGGTCCCTCGCTGCCAAGCCGAGAGCTCACTCACCTTCCTCTGGGCGCGTGGCTGCGGGGCGCAATGGACGTGGCGCTGCTGCACAGCCTGCTGGAAGCCAACTGCAGCCTTGCGCTGGCCGAAGAGCTATTCTCGGAAGGCTGGTCGCAGCCTCTGGACCCCGAGGGTAGGCGGGAGGCGAGCGAACCGGGGCGGTGCGGGCTCCTTCTCAGGCCCGCTGGGTGCCTCCAGGGCCCGGCGCTCCCAGGGCTTTGCGCCCTGCATGGCCCGGCGCTCCGAGGGCTTTGCGCCCTGCATCTCCCGGCGCCCCGCGACCCCGGCAACCCCTCTAAGCCCCACTCCGTTCTCTCACGTCAGTAGGTCCCTACTCCTACTGCAATACGACCTTGGACCAGATCGGGACATGCTGGCCTCGGAGTGCTGCGGGAGCCCTGGTGGAGAAGCCGTGCCCCGAGTACTTCAACGGTGTCAAGTACAACACCACTCGTGAGTGCCCCCAGACCCTCACGTCGTGGGCTCTGCACCCACCTTCCAGGAGGGCCGTTCAGGAAGTGGAAGGACTCCCGACCCAGCCCTGGAGATGTGCGGAGGGCCGCGCAGCACCCTCAGACCACTGGCTTTAAGGACCCCTTACAGGGGGTTGTTGGGGCGCTCCTTCTGTTCCTACCCCATCCCCGTAGGAGAGCGGTAATGATTTGCCCATGGCTCCCATGTTCCATGCGGTGAGAAACCAGAAAGGGAAGAAGGAAATCCTCTCTTTTGAGGGAAAATCTCTCTTTCACATTATGTACGTCGTAGGTGCATGAAGTCCCCCATCAGGGCTTCTCCTTGTTTAGCCAGTGCTCCCCAGGGGAGCAGGGCCCTCGAATGCTAACCCCTCCAACCCCTCCCCCCCGGGGTGAGTGCGGTGATCACTCTTTACTACCAGAGAGGTGGAGAAGGTGGAGGAGGAGGAGGAGGTGGGGGAGGACAGGAGAAGAAAAACCAGGATGAGCCCTGTGTTGGGGAAGCGTGCAGTGTGTAGAAACTCCTTGGCCAGCGTGTGGGGTGTTGCCTCTTCCTACCCAGATGGGCTTTGAGTCAGGGGCGGTGGGCTGCATTACTCCAGCGCCCCAGTCAATCAGGACCATCCCCCCCACCTCCCAGGGAGAACAGACTGAGCCCACCTTCCTCCTGGCTTGACACTCCGGAGAAGGTAGCCTTGGAGGCTGCTGGGGTCACCCAGCACCTAGGTGGGATTACTCAGCACCTGAGCTGAGTCCATGCCCTAGAGAAGGTCTGGTCAGGAGCCAAGCAAGAATGTTCTGTGAGGCAGCGGAGCAGCAATCACTGGTCCACCCTGAAGGCCTCTCTGGTCTCCACACCCACCCCGCCAGCGGAGAGCGTCCTGAGAGGGAGCGGGAGCAGGAGCAGGAGAGGGGTGTCTGAAGCCCCTGTCCTGGAAACACCCTAGCAACCTCTCTCTGAGCGGCTGTGTCTGAACAGGGCACAGCACACCCAGCCCCTCGCGTGCACACATGCGTGCTGCACGCACACGTGCCTGTCCACACTCTCAGAGCCTGAGGCCCTCACCCAGACGGGTGGTTAGAGGGCAAGACAGCCTGTGTTGGATGCTAAGCTCCCCTCCCTAGGGGTCTGCACCAGCGGTGGCTCTGGTGGTCCAGGCAGCAGCTGTGCTTCACTCCCACCCCTCCCCCTCCAACAGCAGAGGTGCTCTGATGGAAGGGGATGGTAGAGATAGGGAGGCACCTCGGGGAGATTTCTGTGTCATCTGAGAACATGCTTTCTCTCCATGACTGAAGCAGACCTCCCTGCTGGGAAAGGAGGTCCTCGACCTGGGAGGTGTGCAAGCAGAAGGAATGACTTCCACGTTCCTTCCAGTCCCGAGATTATAAAACCGCACGTTGAGGATCCTGGGAGCTGTGTGGGGTGTGGCAGTGGAGTTCAGGGTCCCTGGTTCAGCCTGGGCCCCAAGACTAAGGGCTCGGTGAGGAGGGAAGGGTGGCCTGCTCTGGTTCCTGCCTGGCCTGGGCTGCACCCTGTTCTCGCCAACCAGCCCGGAGCTCCCTGAGGGCAGGGCCTGGGCCTCTCCTTCATGGCAGAACTAAGTACAGTGTTCATTCAGTCAGTGTATTCAATGCCCACTGCGTGCCAGCCACTGCACTGGCATTGAGGTCCTCACTATAGCAACAGACAGAAGGACAATTCAGAGGGACAAACAACCTGATGGGGAAGAGCAAGGGGTTCGGGAAGGCTTCCCAAAGAAGGAGCTCAGCACACAGCAGACCCCTTTCCTCACATCAAACAGGAAGCCAAGAAGAGGTGAGGGCACCATCGAGCTAGTTCCAGTTTGCTCCTGCTAACTGATGAACCATTGGCTTGCTTTGGACCAAAATGCTGCCTGCAGTGTAACTGCTTGGGGACCAGGATGAGAGTGGGGGGCAGAGAGCATCGCCATTAACCAGTGCGGCAGGCCAGTGGCAATGGACATACTGTGAGTCAGTTCCCTCTTCCCACCCCCTGGCCACCGCCTCCTCCTGCTGTTTGTCCTTCCAGTGGGGTCCTTCTTTAGAAAGAAGGGTACAGACGAGGAACAGCTTGTAGGAGAAGCCTGGGGGAACAGAAAAGAGGGTCCTGGCCCCTCTTTCTGCCCAATTTTGTGGTGCTACAGCCAATGCCCCTTGAAGCATCGTTCTTTGAAGGGCAGGCATTGCCCTGGTGGAATAGCAGCTTAGTCTCCACTCAACTGAGCACAGAGCTACCCAGTGTGGGTCATTTTTCAGGTACCACTACCTCTGGGAGACCTGCATGCACAACCCCTGACATCGCCACCCCGGTCTCCATCAGCAGGGGAAGGGAGTTGCAGGAGCCCTGCAGTGGTTCGGCCAGAGGGGGCCCCTGTATCCCACTCTCCTCCCACCTCCCTCCATCCTACTCGGACCCTCGAAGCCCATCTGCCTCTGTGTGTTTGCACCTGCCTTTGTGTCTCCCTGCCTCTGTCTGTCTCTGTTCATTCTGTGTGTGGTTCTGTCTCTGTCTCCAGGTGGATTTTCTCTCTTTCTATGAGTACGTCTTCCTCAGTTTCTCTCTTCTGTCCATGCTACTCTCCCCTCCCCCTCCCTCCTTTCCTCCCTCCATCTGTCTTCCCTCTCCAGCTCTCTTCCTCCCTCTTTGTCTCCCCAGTTCCCCTCTCCAGTCCCCTCCTTCCCTTCTTTCCAAACCCTGGGTCTCCCTCCTCCCACCCTTTCTACATCTGCCCTCCTCGGGCCCCTCCTCTTGCCTGCCCCTGTGGTCCTCAGGGCTATAAAGGGGAGGCTGCTGCCCCCTCCTGGCCAGGCCTATTTTTCTCCTGCCCAATTGCTAAGCCCAGCCCAACTCAGCCTCCACCTCCTGGATCTCAGACCTGTTGAGAAGGGCTGGTCCCATCTGTACTGAGGTATGTTCTAGGACAGGGGATAAAGGGATACTCCACCTAACCCAACCCCAAGGACAGGACAGAGTCCCCACTTCCTAGAACCCCATTCTAGACACATGCACAGTGTTCACATGAACACACACTAGCCTTGTGGTACAAGCCTGGAATACTCTGAAAGGACACTGATTTTGGGGATGTACACAAAGAAAGTCTGATCTGATCCCCAAAGGCCTCTGGAGAGAGGCAACTGCTGGGTGAGCGCAAGGATGCAGGATCCTGCCAGCCAGCGGTGGCTTTACCCCACATCACTCCACAGAAACTGGTTGAGGACCCGTTCTCGTGCCGGACAGGCTGCTGACTGCTGGCCTGCACCTTGGACAGGGTTTTCTTTTTGGGGGGACTGTTTCTGTGCACTAGGTGGGGGTGAGCTTGATGGGTTCTGGTGGCCCCATTCCGTGACTTTCCTCACTTCCCCAGCAGCCTCTGCCTCAGGGGTCCCTGTTATCCTCTTGCTCCCCGCCTCCCTCCATGGCCGGCGTCATGGCGACGAGCCCATGGAGCGTTGCCATGGATGATTGCAAGGAGGGAGCCCTGTGCAGTGGAGGCTGGAGCAGGGAGCATGGAGCAGAGGCCTCCTCCTACTTGCACCCCTCATGGGGAGGGCAGTGACCCACACACCCCTTCCTGTCATAGGCCCTGTGTGGTCTCCACCAAACTGCCCAGGGCCTCTCTAGTTCAGGATACTCACTGCTGTAAATAAGGACCTCTATGCCTGCTGTGCCTACTCAAGGAGTGAAAAGTTTTTGGGAACCGGGTACTGGGGACTTGGGGATGTCCAGAATAGACAGCTGGGGCCCTGAGAGCAGTTTCCACACAACAGTGAAGAATGGAACCCAAGTTTTCTGTCCCTCAGCCCAGATGTCACAGCACATGGCCCTGGGGAGGCTCTTCCCCACTTGATGACTAGGGTGGCAAGTGCAGATCCCCAGTCTCTGAGCCCCACTCTCCTAGGTCAAGGTTGGGTCCTAGCCTGGGGGAGCATCTCTAGCTGCCCCCACCTTGCCCCTACCACCCACACACTGTGATCAGATCAAGACAGGAAATGTTCCAGCCGGGTCCCGGAGCAGGCTGGCGCTTGCTAGCTGCAGCAGCATTTAAACACTCGCAGGAGTGTGAGCCGCGCAGACACCCATTGGTTGTTTGGGAAGCTCAGGGAAACTATGCTGCTGGCACCATGACTGAGCTTCCCCAAAAGGCCTCTTAACTGGAGGGGGAAAGCCGTCAGTCATGCCCCACAGCATCCTTGTCCAGTCCCACCACGGGGGATCTCTCCCCACAAAAGAGCTAAGAACAGTGACCCAAGGGGAAGGTCAAAGATTTCCCAGTGAGGCCCCAAGCCAGACAGAAAGCAGATGGTCAGGCCTGGAGCAGTCCAGTTCCAAGGAGATGCAGTCAGGGGACTTGTGGTGGGCACCTGGCTCCTTGGGCATTGGGTGCTCTGGGCAGCTGGACGCCGAGTGAAGGAGGCATGGCAGAGGGCACAACCACTGCATCTTCTGGAACAAAGCGGCACATTGAGGGCCTCTTTCTTTCAGGAACCCTGGCTCCAGGGTCTCCCAAGAGAAAGTGTGTCCCAGGGGAGCGAGATCTTGTTCTGCCTGTTCATTGCCCGTGACCCCAGACATGTCACTCTCTCTTTTTGGGACCCTTTAGACCAAATGAGGGAGAAGTTGTCTCCTGCTCTTAAATTCCCAAGGAGATGCCAGCTGACTCAGTTTCCAGCGCACTTTTCTGAGGATGGCCAAGATTTCTTGTCAAGAATATGCAGGAGACTTCCCACAGGACTGCTATGTTAGAGTGACACCCCCACCCCAGGTGGGGTTGGACTTGCAGGGCCAGCAGTTCCAGAAGTAGGGCTCAATCTGCCTGTGGCATGTGTGACTCTTTTGCATTTGCCATGCAGCTCACTGGGGCCTGGGCATTCAGGTGGCAGACTGTCCTTTTGGCCCACTCCAGGCCTCTCATCCTCATTCAGGGTTACCCAGTCATCTAGGAAACAGCATCACCTCAGTCCATCCTAAGCCCCTGTATATTCAGCTCTGTGTAGCGCTTCAAAAAGGACCAGAGGAGAGGGCCACCTAGACCTTGACCCCTTAGGCTACCTGGGAAATCCCGACCCAACATGGACTAGGGAAAATGAGCAGTTGAACCGCCCAGGGGTCTGGAGGAGTCATGGAAGCATCTAGAGCATCTAGGGCTGAAGCTTGGAGACATGAATTAGTGTAACCTTTGGCTGAGCCCAGGGCCAAGGGCTGACAGGGTGACTGGGTGGGTCCTAGGAGCTCTCCACGGTAGGACAACTACGGAGATGGTGGGGAACGGGACTGTTCCGCTGTCCGTGGTGCTGAAAGTTTATGTCCTGCACAGCGACCGTATTTCTTCATTGAATATTGCTTCTGGCCCTTCCCACCTTCCTGTCAGCAACTGCCCGTACCTTCCTCCTCATCATTTATTCTATGTATCCAATGGGCACATCACTGCCCCTTCACCACTGTCCCACTCGCAGTGCACCCAACCTGTCCCTTGCTCTCTGCCCCCCTAACTACCACCAAAATTGATCAATCCTTCCTGGTCCCTGTCTCCCATGCCTTGCCAATTAGGATATTAGAGGCAGCAGTGCCAACCTCATGGACACTTGGAAGTATGTAGGGATTTTTGGGATTGTCAACTAACTCATGGTTGTCACCGGCACTTAGCAGAGTAGAAGGCGCACCCGTGATCCCAGTTCCTTCATTGAGAACCGATTTACATTGTTTTCTGAGAGAAGAAACTGAAGCCAAGAGGGGAGGGCCTTAGGCAAGGTTGCTTATCCAGGTAGAGCTAAAACTACTGCTAGAATATGGGTCCCCACCTTTCCCAGACAGGCTGCTGGGCCACTCAGGGGACCTCCCAAACCAGGAGCTCATATCCAAATGTTAGCACCTGAATGTAGGAGAGCCCATTGTAATGGGGGCTTTCTTTGGCCAGCTGTCCTTGGGAACAGAGCCCCAGCACACTGCTTGGGAAGGGTCCAGGCTGCCCAGGCCACAGGCTCTGGCAGGGGAGACCCTGCCTGCATCACCCAGATTCTAAGGCCCTGGCAGGCCACACGGCACACAGTCTGCATTGACCTGGCAGGGGCATCTGTGTTGCTGCTGTGGTAGCAGACACCCACCTCCCTGCATCCATCCCTGTGATTTGGCCTGGCCACCTGCCCACACACTTCCCATGCCTGTCTTCCCATGGTTCCTGGGGGAGACTCCTCCTATCTTACTCTCTCCTGTGCTGGGCTGTGGTTCCAGTCCTCATTATCCAGCTCCCCTGAAGAGCCAGGAACATCTGTCTTCCAGTTCCCTGGAACCTTGTGTCTGCAGCCAGAACCTCCTTCCAAAGCATGGCTGAGCCCACTGAGGAAAGCTCCCCTCTTGCTCCCACATCCCTCATCCCAGACTCCCCCGCCCAACATTTTGGCAGACCTGAGCCAGTTTGGCACTGCCCACAGTGCACTCAATGGCCGGCTCCCGAGGGGGATGCAATGTCTCCAGTATGGTTTCTGCCTGCTTGTCTGCCTGTCCCAGGGGCTCAACTTCAGTAGCAAAAAATGGGGTGGAGCCCAGTGAGATGATGTCCATAGTGAATGATGGGCAAATGCTCTAAAAGAGATTTTTGTTTGTTGCTCCACAGATTGTGGCACAGTTGTGGGTTGTTATGTTCATTTAGTGGGGTCACGAGTAGCATTTGTACATAAAATAAATAGAATTGATCCAAATGGAATATATAGAGAAAATGTAATTGTGGTAAAGATAAATGTCACTTTGTGGCACTGAATTCTGTCGTGTTTGTGTGTGTGCGCTGGGTTGTGATAGGCAACGGGTGTTCTGCTGCAGTTCAAGGGCAATGGAGTGTGAAGGACGATGTTTCAATGCTGGGAAGACACAGAGGGGGTGTGTTCAGAAAAAGAAGAGATTACTTAACATCTCAGGGATGGAAGAAGCCTCCAGAAGGAGATGGCACTGGAGCGGGAGTTGAAAAGTTAGATAGGAGTTTGCTGGTGAGCCGTGGGTGAGAGTGAGAAGGGCGTGCTCAGGGAGGCTCAGTGGAGAGCTGGGGGTACGCCCTGCCTGCTTGTGTAAATGCCAACAGCCCGGTAGACTGCTGGAGCTGGGTCAGCAAAGTCAGGCTGGGGTCCGAGTGTCCAGGGCCTTGAGTATGACACCAGGAAAGCTGAATTCATTCCCAAGAGCAATAAAAAACAGCTTAATGCTTTTAGGTATAAGTCGACATGATCACTCTGGCAGTTGAGGTAAAGGACAGAGAGGGTCAGGGGATACGAGCTTGCGGAGGACAGGAGCTTGCGGAGGACAGGAGGCTGTTGTGCCAGGCCAGGCAAGGTGATCAGAGAGTGGGTGGAGGGATGGGCGGGGAGGGGGGATGGACTCCAGAAAAAGAAAGATAAGACGAATTTACAGAACTTGCTACCCCAGCAGCATGCATGAAGGTGACCAGAGAGGTTTCAGATTTGCGGCACCTCCATCCTGACCCTTTCCCATCCATAAGCCCCCACACCCTGCTCTCAGCACCCCCATGAGATACCATGCTTGGGAAACAAGCACTCTGAGGCCCTGTCCTCAGGGAGTCCCACACCAATCAGACAGATCAGCCTCATGCACCTGAACAACTCATGCCAGATCATGAGCAAGAGCTGCAAGTGTGAGGCTCAGACTGTAAGAACTGGTGGTGGAGAGTCTCAGGATAGATCTGTCAGGTGCAAGCAATCAAGGATGCCTTCCTGGAGGAAGGGGCTTAGCACTAAACTTCAAGAAATCTGAGTGACATCTATGAACACATTCCAGAAGGTAAATTTTTCTCTTGGAAGCACAGCTAGAATCAGGGTGTGTCTCACCTCACCCAGGTCTGTTGAGAGAGACCCTAAACACCCACCAGGAAGGGATTGTTCAGAGACCTTAACATGGGTTCCTCTGGCTTCACCGGCCCCCCAATCTGTCCTTTAGTTCGGCAACATCGCTGACCCGATGCATCAGATTCTGTGAACACATCACTTTCTGCAGTGAAAAGACCCTGAGAAGAGGGGAAACCTCAGTAGGGAATTGGGGGCCATGGTCAGGGTCGAGGCAACGTGTCCTCACATCAGGGCTGGAGTCCGTGTCACCAGTGTTGGCCCTGTCCACTCACTCGGTGACCACGGTCCTGCCAGAGGTGGCCTCAGGCTAGCAGGCACCAGAGGCCTGAAAACACCAGGAACAGCCCTGAAGGTGAAAAATCTGTGCGCTGGGGGCACCAATTTAAAAACAATTAACCTAATAGCACCCCGCTCTTCCCCTCACTGTTTCTGCTCCTCTGCAAATGCTCTTTTCCATTGCTTTTTACTCACTGTCAGCTCAACGGAAGTGGGGTTTTGTTTTAAGTAACTTAATTTGAGAACTCACTGCTTCCAAAAACAATCTAAGGCTCCCACTGGCTCTGTGACTGCTCTGGGTGCCATTTATTTCGATTAGCTCTAAGTCGCACCTCTAATATAAGCCAAAAGACAAATCTGCCAACAACTGTCCATTAGCCAGAGAGCAGAGCCCTGGTACAAATCACCCCCAAACGATGGGTCGCTTAGAACTTCTAACCCTGTGGGGGAGTTAAATTCATACTAATTGTGAAATGTAGAGCAGAAGCCATAAAAAGGGCTTTGGGAGTTCTCAGGTGGGCGGTGCTTCTCCTGTTTGGAGGTTGAGGGTGGGCTACCTGGCGGAGGTGTCTTAGGAGGGAAACACTGGCAGTCCAGCTAGAATTTAAAGCAAGGCCAACGCAAGCATTCTCTGACCTCTGTACTTTGCCCTCGGATAAAACCTGCCTTTTCGTGCATCAGACATTGAGGTTCTGAAATGTCTTTCCACACAGCACATTCCAACTTTAATATCCAGGCTGCTCCTCAAACAGTGAGAGACATCACGTGGTGGTCACCCAGGCAGCCGAGGCTCAAGGTCAGCAGGATGATCCTGTTTCCCCAACTGTTCCTCATTCCTATGTACTCATTAGCCTAGAGCAGAGGTCCCCAACTTTTTTGGCATCAGGGACTGGTTTCGTGGAAGACAATGTATCCATGGTTTGGGGGGTGGGAGTAGAGAGGAAGAGGGCCAGTTAGGGTGAGGGGAGCTCAGGTGGGCCAAGCTTCGCTTGCTTGCCAGCTGCTCACCTTCTGCTGTGCGCCTAGTTCCTAAGAGACCAGGGACTGGTACCATCCACAGTCCACGGGTTGGGGGCCCCTGGCCTAGATGTTAAGAATGTAAAGCCTGAAGCCAGACCTTTGGGCCTGAATCCTCTTCTCATCCTTGTACAGTACCTTGAGCAAGCAGCCTAATCTCTATGTCTCAGTTCTCTCTGTGACACGGGTTAAGGTTGGCACCTCTCCCCCCGGGGTCGCTGTGGAGATGGAATGGGCAGTGCACACGAAGCAGCAGAGGGTCGGGCACACAGTAAACACCTGCTATGTCACTGGCAGTGATGATTAAAATGAAAGTGCTGGGCTGGTAGGAAAGCAGGGACCCATTCAGTGGGACGTCATTGAGATCAGGATAGACATGGTGTGGCTGAAAGCAGTGAACCTTCACCCACCAATCGAGGCTCACAGTTGAGTTCAGTTCTGAACAAAAGGAAAGGGAGTGTTTGAACTAGTCAGGGATGGCACCCACGGTGGGTCTGCCCGTGCCTGTTCACTGCTACGTGCGTGCAGTCTCTGGTGCTGTTTTCACACACATGACTTCCAGATGAACTTTTAGATGCACACTGTGTTTCCTGACCTAGGGAAGCTGAAAAGTATGGGCCTCATCCTGGGGGAACTGGGGAGCCAGGGAGTGTTCTTGAGAAGGGGAGTGACCTGCCTCTTGGTGGTTGGCCCCTTTTGCAGGAAATGCCTACCGGGAGTGCTTGGAGAACGGGACCTGGGCCTCACGGATCGACTACTCACAGTGTGTGCCCATCTTGGACAACAAGGTGAGTGGCCTGCCCTTACCCTGCTTGACTCAGGTTGAGCACAGGGGCAGAACCAGTCCTGCCTCCCAACCACTCCATTGTGCACCCCTTGCCCCTGCCCCCTGCTCCCCGCCCTGCATTCGCTGACACTGGTGAGGCAGAGGAGGGGACACAGAGCCCCACCTTCAGGAGAGGTCCGGCTGGCACGGGACACAGGCAGGGTGGCAAGTGATGCACAGAGGAGTGACTGGGTGACCAGCGCTCCAGCATCTCACAGGCTGTGACTTCCTTCTTCTCTGGGCCTCAGTTTCCCCATCTGGCATTCCGATTCTCTGACTCCATGTGGAAATAAATGGAGCCCCCCAGAGGCAGTCCCCACAGGAATTTGGGTCCCCCTCAGACCTGCTCCAACCTCACCGGCCCCATTTGCTCTGAAACTGGATTCCTCCACCAGCCAGCAGGCCAGCCGCCTCCCCCTTTGAAGCTGCACCTCAGCTCTGACCCAAAATGAAACGTTCCACCTCCAGCCTTTCCTCATTCACTCAGCACGGTCCTCAGGGGGACTGGTGGAAAACCATCCATCTACTCTGAGAGAGTGGGTTCTTCAAAACTCGAGCCAAAGGGGCACTGAGTGAGGGCTGCAGAGTGGCGAGGGACAGACCAGTGGTGAAGGAGAAAGAGGTGTTGTGTGGCGCCCTGTTCTCCCCATCCCCACACCTCAGGGCCTCTGGTGGTGGCAAACCAAGGTGGGGTGGGGTGGGGTGGGGTGGGGGAGATAGTGCCCCGGGCCAGAAGGAGGGCTGTATCCCTGCCTCTGTTTAGAATGCCAGCCAGGGTGGTAATAAAAAGCACACTGTCTTTTACTTGCTTTTGATATTGTTCTCAAGGACTCTGCATCCAATGCACCCCCACCCCGTTGCCACGCCCAGAGCGGACGGGTCCCAAGGCTGCCCTCAGGCTTTCCACCCATCACTGCTTCTGCAGCAGGAGGGCAGGTTGGGCCCACTGTACAGGGGTCCCAACTGAGGCCCAGAGATTTGAATCAACTCACCCTCAGTTGCTCAGCCAGCTGGAATCTGAGCTGAGACTAAACATAGGCATGGGAACTCCCAGTCCAGATTTAAAAAGAAAATAAAAGTCTCTCTGTACCTCCGGCGTATCCCAGAAGGCGCTATGTCCAAAGCTGCACCAACACTGTCTGTGGGAGGCCTGCCTGCAGCCGCCCAGGGCCAGGAGGAGGGGGCTGCGTGTGAGAGCCAGGCATGGTGAGGACACCTGGAGCCACCCTGCCCTCCACATCAGGCCATGCAGGGCGGTCACCACTGAAGTGCCCAGCCCTGCCCTCCGTGTGCCCCATGCCTCTGTCTGCCAGTGTGTCTGTCTGTCTGTCCAGCAGAGGAAGTATAGCCTGCACTACCACATCGCTCTCGTGGTCAACTACCTGGGCCACTGTGTTTCTGTGGTAGCCCTTTCGGCGGCTTTCCTGCTTTTCCTGGCCCTGCGGTGAGCCATGCTGCCCCTACCTTCTCCTTGCCCCTCCTCCCACGGCACCCCCTTCACCTGTCCTAGACCTTCCCACCTCCGCTCCAGGGGGCCTGCAGTCAGCCGGCAAAGGGAGCATGGGGGAGGCCACGGGGGGGGGCTGGCAGTGAGAGCTCCAACCGTGACCACCACAATGGGAGTTTGGCTCCTGCTGCAGCCCCATACCCTTCTGCCGGGCTGAGCCTCTGCCTGGCCTCTGGGGGCTCAGTCCTAGCTGAACCCTGACTCTGGCTGACCCCTGGCCTGGGCCTTCCGCAGGAGCATTCGCTGTCTTCGGAATGTGATCCACTGGAACCTCATCACCACTTTCATCCTGAGGAATGTCACATGGTTCCTGCTGCAACTCATCGACCACGAAGTGCATGAAAGCAATGAGGTCACTGGGCAGGGTCTTGGGGCTGGGCCCTGGGGGGACTCTGGGGACACCCCCCTTTGTGCTCCACTCTAGTCGCTGTCCCTCCAGGGATGGGAAAGTGGAGAGGTGCCAGGCCGGGGTCTTGGGAGCAGCACAAACCTGACAGCAGGCTTTGATGCACCTGGTGCTACTCGCCACCTTATGGATACGGGTCTTCCAAAGACCCTGAGAGAAGAGGAGGCGGGAGCTGACCTCTGTTGAGCTCTGTCTTGCTCACCCCCAGTGAGGGCCTGTAGGGCCTGTAATACACAGACCTGGAAACAGGCTCGGAGGGGTCCGGTGGCACTGTCATGATGTCTCTCCGTCCAGGCCAGCAGGCCACCCACCTGTTAGCAACCCACCCCAGATCTCTGGCCACTGCTACGTACGGTGTCCCAGCCATTGAAAAACCGGAGGCAAGTGGGCCACACGCAGAGTGCTTTGACATGCTGTGAGAGACTTCTCAAGACTTGTGTTTGGGTGGCTGACCCTGAGCACACCTGGCCTGGTTTGATCCTCAACTTGGCCCCACAAGGAGCCCCACTTCAGCACCAGCCAAGGTCCACTGAATGTTGGGGTGACCCGTAGCACAGTATTGGCTTGTACCGATAAGATGTCACGTAACTGGGAGACAGAGCAGGGTTCGGAGGAGAGGATCTTTAGCTTCCCACTTCAGCAGGACTTTCTGAAAACACAGCCACATGGGGCCCAAGGTCAAGGCCACAGTCATGGGGGAAGCCAAGGAAGCTACAACTAGTTGAGTGCAAGAGGTTTATCTGGCAGCCCTGCTCAGAGGGACAGGGACAAATTCCCATCTGTTGGGGAGGCAAACAGCAGCCTTCATTCTCCCAAACAGGGGGACACTCACCTCCACAGCCACCGCCCACCTGCAGAGAGACCCTGTACTATTATTTATATAACAACATGCTTTTAATTGAATCACTGTGTATGAAACCACTCTCCTCCATGAAATTTCATGTTCCATCCTGAATTGGGAGCCAGTGTGACTTATGGATAAAAGGTGACCCTCTGAAACATATGACTGTGAAGGCACAGCAGTGTTACCCGTTCTAGCCTCTGTCTGCAGGAAGCTCGGATCCAGACCCCCCCATTCTGGATGAAAAGGGGGAATTAGAAAGCACTGGAGTGAAGTCACAGACATACCAGTATCCGTGGAGACGGGTGCCTTAGATCAGACCAAAGCAGTGAGAGAGAAATAACAAGGATGAACCACCCAGCATGCGATTGGGGGGGGGGGGTTAATGCCATGTCCCTGAACCTCTGAAATGACCAGCCCCACATCAGCGCCCAGACTGCACACTCGGGCCCCGCCCTGGGCAGCCCCTGACCGCTGCCCGCCCCGTGCAGGTCTGGTGCCGGTGCATCACCGTTGTCTTCAACTACTTCGTGGTGACAAACTTCTTCTGGATGTTCGTGGAGGGCTGCTACCTGCACACGGCCATCGTCATGGCCTACTCCACTGAGCGCCTGCGGAAGTGGCTCTTCCTCATCATCGGATGGTGTGAGGGTCCCCGGGAGGGTGACAGGGCCAAGCAGGGGTGGGGGTACTGCCGACAAGGTCACCTCTCTTCATGTTGGGTCCAAGGACAGAACCGTCATCCAATCCGCTATCCGTAAGACAGCCCACAGGGCAGCCAGTCCCCTGCGTGCTGGCCAGGAAGAAGTAGAGAGTCTCCCACAAGGGCCCTCAGGGGGCCCTCATCTCCTCGCCAGGAATGGCAGGTGCAAAGACATTTGTGTCTGGCACTGGAAGAGATGCCGGCAGCTCCACGTCTCAATCAGAAAAATCTCAAAAAATGACACAGGCCCCTCATCTCACTGACCTGCTCGGAGGGGATGGCTGAGAGTGGGGGAGGGGTGGGGCCGGGGTCCAGGACAGGCCCCTGCGGTCATGGATGCTCTGCAGTGGACGATTGGGAGTCTGTTCTAAAAGAGGGCCCCCTGTCCACCTGTCTGTCCACTGCAGCCCATGTCTGTTGTTTTTCAGGCATCCCCTGCCCCATCACCATCGCCTGGGCCCTTGGCAAGCTCTACTATGAGAATGAACAGTAAGTAGGACAGGCCAGCCGCGGGGGCCACGGGGGCCATGCGGATGTCATGACAGGCAGCCGTGAGCTCCAACTAGGCCGTGGGGCAGGAAAGGCAGTCCTATAGGACGGATCAGCTTTTCATCATCCTTCAATTATGAAAATATATCCCCAGCACCCAGAAGTACTCATGGTGCCTGTCAAATAAGCTTCGTTGAATCGAGTTAGGATTTCTGGTTCCTTTAAGCACCCAAGTGCAAGACCTCTTAGCATCTGGGAAGGCCTCCTCCTCATGATTAGAGAACTTGGAGGGAGCCAGGGGCTCCTAGCCTTCAGCCCAGACATCGTCCAAGGCACCGTGAGCCTTTCACAAGCCCCTGGACCAGGGTCCTGTCCTGGGACCTCATCTGCGTCCAAGCCTTTGCTATACTACGCCACTGCCCAGGGGTGAGGGGTCAGGAGTCAGCCAGGGAGCAGCTGGGAAGTCAGGTACCACCAGCTGAGACAAGAGGGGACAGGGGAACATAAGTCCCTGTATAAAAATCTCCAAGGGGTCTCTGAGGCTGGAGGGAGCAGATGGGATTTGGGGGTGAGGGCAGGCACTCAACATTAGGAAGTGCTCGTGATGACAAAAGCTGCCCGAGACTCAGAGGTGCGCCTTTATCATCATGCAGAATGACAGCAAGCTTCCTGTCGGAGGGGGTTTCCGAGCAGAGACCAGAACCCTCCGAGGCTAAGAGAAGCTGGGGAGCTTCCTGTTCAAGGCAGCATTCACTGGGTGACGCCTGAGGTGGTAGGGGACACAGTTCGGGGTCTTCCTGCCGCGGTCTAGGAGGAGTTGCTGGCAGAACCAGATGGGGTCCTGGGAGCTCTTCCCCTGGACCCTGATCCTTCACCTACCCTTCTCCCTGAGGAGCAGCCAGGCCTCTGGCAGTGCCAGGCTCCCCCCAACCCTGGGTGAATGAGGCTCAGCCAGGAGGAAGGCTGGGCTGGGGCAGGAGAAGGCTCCCGCCTGCACACCTGCTGCTTTGTGCGGCTCTGTGCCTGGCACACGGAGTGGCGGGTTCCAAGCAGCCCATGAACAGGAGACAGGGCAGCTGGGCCTGGGGCCAGTAAGGGGCACCCTGGCCGTCCATCATGAGCCTTGGGCCCAGCAGTCTAGAATGGCTGAGGGAGTGCGGAGGAGGGGGAGAACCAGGCTGCCCTCAAGGCTGGCTGGAGAGCCCAGACCAGCTGGGACAGCAGGGGGTGGGGGACAGGGTGGTCAGTGGGGCTGGGGCCATGCACCCAGGCTTCTAGGGAAGGTGCAGCCCTGGAGACTGGGTATCAGGACAGGTCAAGGCAAAGGACCCCTGGGCCCAAGTCTCCAGGGGTCCCCGAGCGGTGGTTTGGCAGGTCACTGACAGCCGCCCATCTTTGCAGGTGCTGGTTTGGGAAGGAGCCCGGTGACCTTGTGGACTACATCTACCAGGGCCCCATCATCCTTGTTCTCCTGGTAGGTGGACACTGGGATGGGACTGGGGACTGGGGACGAGGAAGCAGCTGAGGACCCACCCAGCAGAGAGACTTCAGAGGGAGCAATATGCCCTGGGCAGCCCCGCGGCCTGCACACACTCTGAACACATTACCCTGCTTCCTGAAACCTCCCTTCCAAATTCGCTCTCCCCATGCTCTCTACCCATGCAGCCCCCTCCCCTCTCTGGCCCTGGGTTCTTCCTCCAGGCAGAGAATGGGTCTGACTGGCCCATTTCTAGTGCCTTCCCACATCTGACATCCCCTTGCCAGGTCTGGTGTGGAGACAGCTAGGGGAGGGGGCTGCTGGTGGCAAGAGAAGGGCATTCAGGCTTCTGTTCAGCCCAAACTTGCACCCCCTCCTCTCTCAGCACAACTCCCTCTGGGGCCCAGCCCACCACCCCCAGCCCGGAGCCCTGGTACCGGAATGAAGTGTAATGAGCAATTGTTCATGGATCAGCTCCCCACCCTTTTCCAAATGTTTTTTGAATCTAAGGTATAATTGCTGCCCGCTTTTAATCCCCAACAAGCTTTAATCAAGGTAGAGTTTAAGGGACTGCGTTCTGCAAAAACGAACCCATTATATGTCATACATAAAAAAGAGAGAGACATACAAAAAGGCCCCATAAAAATTGGCATTTATGTAAGACATTTCAGGCCCAGTAACTTCGGGTTCCTGTAGGTACTGCTTCCTTAAAGGGCCACAAGGTCCTGGGCCTGAGAGAGCAGCATCCACCTCTTGCACACAGCAGGTGCCTAATGAAAGCCTCTTCGGTCTACCTTGGAGGCAATTACTGTTTATCTCTTATTTCCTTACTCTCGTTTCCTGTGACTTTTTCTGGGATCCATTTGCCCCCATCTCTGAGTGTCCTTGATGTATCTGAGCCAGAGATGACTAAGAAGGCTTTTTCTCCACTGAAAATTCAGAGACAAAAGCTAGTCCCTGTCAGCAGTCAGTGTGGGGAAGGGTTGTCCTTGGAGTCCCACCTGCAATGAGTGACTCACCCCCCAGTGCCAGCTGAAACTCCATGAGACCCGGCCCCCAGCTGGCCCACCCTGGACCACAGGGCTTCTGAGGAGCCTGGGACCTGGCCAAGGAAGGCTGGCCTAGAGGGGGACCCAACGACAGTGGGGAGCCAGCCCCCATTGCACGGAGCAGTGGTGAGGGGTGCACGGAGCCGGGGAGACAGGAATAAGGGCTCTAAGTCCAGGACCCACCTCCTGGCTTCCCTCCACATCTCCTCCTCGGTTCCACTGTCACCTCCAGAGCATGTTGCTTGTCGTCCCCTTTGGGCCCAGCCCACACCCAGCTCTTTGCACTGATAGGGCTCCTAGGTTCCAGGGTTAGCCCTTCCAGAAGCTCTGTCTTCATTATGTCCAGTCCTCACCTTCCCCAGTGTCTGGAAAGAGGAGAGAGCATGCTTCCCATTTCGGAGATGAAATGACCTGCCCAAGCTCACCACCAGGTGCTCAGCTGAGTGAGACTCAGGGGCAGGTCTCCCACCATCTGCCTGCCATCCTGTCTGTTGGGTTCCCACCTAGTGCCCCTGCCCACCCTACCCCAAGGTGTCCGTAGCTGCATTTCTGCCGGTGACAGAATGCTGGTTTCTGGAGAGTGAGTCAGCTGGTCACGTTCATAGGAGGCTGTTGTCATGGGAAAGGCCTGTGGCACTGATCGGGCCCCTCCCTGAGCCAGCTGTGGAGGAGCTCTGTGCTTATCTTCACGGGACAGGTGAGGATGCAGGAGCTCAGAGAGGCTAATTAAGCCACTTGCCCAAGGCCACACAAATGCCAACTGGAACAACCCAATCAGAGCCATGTAACCGGGACTCTGTGCTAGGTGTTCATTTGGGAGGTGTCCTGGAAGCACAGTGGGGGGGTGGGAGCAGACAACCCGGAAAGGAGGAAACCAACAGAGGCTTCCCTCCACCCCCTGGGGAAGGCTGGGTTTCCTACCCGCACACTCCATGCCCCATCAGCGGAGGCTGCTCCAAGGACACTAAATGTCCACATTTCCAGGCCCCTTCCCCTATTTCGAGGCTGAGCTGGCACCCTGGCTCAGAGAAAGCCCCAGGTTGGGACTGTGTCCCCTGCAGCTGCAGGCGAACGCTCGGGCCAGGGACCCAGACAGGGCGCCTGCAGCATGCGGCATGGCAGGTCTCTCTGGCTGAAGCCTCGGCTCTTCCTTGCACAGAGTGACTCCTATCTCAGTGCTCCTCGCAGCAACATCCCAGCTGCCCCGTTCCAAATGCTGATCCCCGGGCCCTGACCTACCACTGGGCAGGTCTGGAGTGGGTGAGGGCATGGGCGTGGGGTCTGCGTTTGGTGCCTTTAATGGGCACACTCTAGTTGGAGAGCCCCGGTGTGCCGCGGCCCTGCCAGGCAGGGATGTGCTACCCAGGCTTTCCCTGTGGCCTGGCCAGGGCCCTGCACACACCAGGACTTGGGATTTGGGCTGTTGAGACTTCATCTGCCTAAAAAATGCCAACAGGAGGGGGAAACTGAGGCATCCAGAGAGGACCAGGATCTGGGCATCAGAGCACCAGGTGGGATGAGAAGGGCGGGCTGACAGGAGGCTGCTCTCCTCAGGGAGGCTCGGCCAGGGATCTAGTCTCCCCCCTGCACTCCACCCGACCCCACCCCACCCCACCCCTACCCCTGCAAAGACTGCCCCTGCAGGCTTCCCTGGGAACCTCCTAGGTTGCAAGTGCCCTGTGGGCTGCAGTACTGGGAGGGAACCTCCTATTTCCCAGCTATTTCTGCCTCCCTCCTGGACTTGTGTCCTGACCCCTTGTGCCTCACCTCAGCCACACTGACTGCCATCTGGCCAGTCTCTCCCACCCCAGGTCTTCCTCCCCTGGCCTTTTCTCTTCCTGAAACATTGCCACCCCCACCCTCTCATCTCACATGCCATTTCTCCAGGGCTTTATGACACTGTAAGGGAAATGCAATGTACCCTCCACCCCAGACCATGAGCCAAATCCTAAGCTCAGTGCCTGGCACATGGCAATGAATGAATGAATGAATGAAAGAAAGAAACCAGGCTGGACAAGAGTAGACTGCAGTAGCCAGTGCTCACTGAAGAGCTGGGATTTGGCAGGGGTGGGGAATGGGGTTCTAGAATGGAGAGATCCATGTGGGCTGGGGTGGCCAGAGGCTCCCTGGAGGAGGACGGGAGGGAGGTGCCTGTGGTGGAGTGAGGTGGTATGGATGCTGTGAGGGGTGGGGGGTGGGGGTGGGGGGCTGGGAGCCAGCTCATGAGGGCAGAGCGCCTTCCAGGCTGCACAGAGCCAGGCTGAGACAGGGTGGGGCCACATCGCTGTCAGCCCCCCTCATGGGAGGAGAAGGGGTAAGGCCTTGTCTTGCGGACCCTCCACACGAGCCCCTGCCCCTGTTGTTGCCTCAGCACCTGGGACAGGGCCCTATAGCCAGGGGATGCCCAGCAACTGCTTAGCACTGGATGACTGGGTGGGTGGGGTGGACATACACCTATTACCCACTAAATAAATGGGTGGCTGCACAGATGAATTGATGAATTCTTGTGGAGTAGATATTTGGACGGATTCGTGGGTAGGTGGGTAGATGGATAAGAGTGGGTGGATAATTGAATCAATTCGTTAGTGGGTTGATGGATGATGGGTAAATAAGATTTCATGCAGGGAAATGTGGCAAAAATGAGAATATAGCTTGATTCCAACAGCTTCCATTCTAAGAGAAGTCAGAATCGAAAAGGTCACAGTTTGTCTCACTTGTATGAGAAAGTTAGAACCGACCTGGGTCGAGGTGACCCTATAATCAAAGGGAATGGCCCAGACACCCAGGAGCTATAACGAGACAAGCCGGAGAGGAGCCGTCACCCAGCAGGCTGCCCTGGTGGAAGTCTCCCCAGCTCACCCTCGGCCCTGGGTTCGCCAGGCCATCCCACTGCGGGCAGGAGGGCAGCTGGCCATGGCTGCAGAGTCTGAGCCCCTGGGTCCCCAGAGCATCCTCACACTTAAGAGTCACCCAGAGGCCACAGGAGTATTTGTCCCATGTTGGCTGCCTGTGTCCCCCTCTCCCCGCTGGGACCCAGAAATTAGGAGGTTTTAAGGAGGGACAGAATCTTAGAACCAAGACTCGAGAAGGAAGTGTGTACATGCGCATGTGTGTGTGTGTTGTGGGAGAGATTCCTAGTGTGTCAGGCCTACACACACTCACTTCGCCATCTGCTCACCCTCAGAGACAAAGAGAAACAGCATCCGTGCCGGTCCCCAGACACACGCTCGCATGTGAACACACTGCCACAAGGCAGCTACAAGGCAATCACAAGGCAAACTCCCTCACACAGCACAGCGAACAGACCCACAGACTCACCAGGAGCGTGCGGAGGGCAGCAAGGACGCACAGACAAACTGGCAGGTGTAGCAAGACGCTCGGGCCTGCAGAGACCCCAGGGGCCCAGGCAGGTGGGGCCCAGGGAGGGGCTGGGGCCGTGGGCTCTGATGCCGAGACAGGCTCACAATGGAGATAAATGAGGCCCTTCCAGGAGCCTCTGAGTCAGCCCAGCAGCTCATTCATCTTCATTGCTTAGGGGGTGTCTGGGAAGGTTCTGGAGCTTTACTGGCACAGAAAATAGATGGCGAGAGATCAATCACTCTGCCTGGCTGTGCCTACCCCACGAGGGCAGGGCTGTGCTCAGCAAGGAGGGCCTCTGGGAGACGCTCGAGTGGGAGGTGGGGACCCTGTAGCCGGGAGGGCGAGGGGCTCAGGCAGGGGCCTGAGTAAGGTGGGGGTTAGGACCCTCTGAGGGGTCATGACTCAGGAGGAGTGGCCTCTGTGTCCTCATCTATTGCTACTGTGGCCACTTTTCCTCCCTCCAGTCTGGGGTGAAGAAGCAGGCCCTGGAGCCTTCAGATGACAGGCAGCTGAGCAAATGGTGGGTGGGGAGGCTGCCCATCCTGGTGAGAGGAGCAGAGGCCTTGGGACCCCAGGCAGTTGCTGGGGTGATGAGTGTGATGTGTGTGCATGTGTGATGTGCATGCATATGGGACATGGGTTTTCAGTGGGCTACGGGGGAGGTGGCTGCCTCTGAGCTGCCACCTCATGGTGCTCCTTTACCTCCTCCCTCCCTCCCTCCAGATCAACTTCGTGTTTTTGTTCAACATAGTCAGGATCCTAATGACAAAATTACGAGCATCCACCACATCAGAGGCGATCCAGTACAGGTGAGTGAGGGGCGGGGGCCACTCCCTGCCTCCGGGTGGAGCCTCTGGGTCCTCCCCTGGAGCCCTCAGCCCAAGTGAGGCCCCACCCCCAGTGTCACTCTCCCCTCTCCCAGGAAGGCGGTGAAGGCCACCCTGGTCCTCCTGCCCTTGCTGGGCATCACCTACATGCTGTTCCTTGTCAACCCCGGGGAGGACGACCTGTCGCAGATCGTGTTCATCTATTTCAACTCCTTTCTGCAGTCCTTCCAGGTGGGCCACTGATGCGGCGGGGGCGGTGGGGGGCTTTCCCGACCTGGGACTCTCAGCTGCCTTTACAAGACGATTGTGTGAGACCAGTGCACATGCAGGGCACTAGCGTACACACCCAAATCTAAGTGTGTATGCCCTGAACCCAGGCCAGCCCCTTTTACCCCCAACCCAGAGCCCAGGTGGACCCACCCTGACTAGGTCTGGGGCACCCAGCTGCCACCTACTGCTGGCCCAGTACCTGCTGTGAGCCTCTGTCCCCCAAGGCCCTTCAGGACAGAGGGGTTCCCACACAGGCCCCTGACCACTCCCCCCTTCCTTTGCAGGGCTTCTTTGTGTCTGTTTTCTACTGCTTCTTAAACGGAGAGGTATGTGGCCAGACCCCAGAGGGCCTGGGCTTGGGGTCAGTCCTCACAACCGCCCCAGGGCAGCTCCAGCGGTACCACCCAGGCTTTCGGGACTGTTGGGGTCCCTGGCTCTGCTCAGCTCTGCCCTGGAGACGGGGAGGGAGGGCCAGGGAAACCACCCAGCCTGGGGGCACAGGAAGGCTGCCTGAGGGACCCCTGCCAGTGTACAAGGTCCAGCATGCAGGCAGGGAGCCACAGGCCAGCACCCCGCCAATGCCCTGGGAGAGCCAGTTGAGTTGGGGGCCCAGGTTGCAGGGTCTCACAGGCGGGAGGAGCCAGAATAGGGGTGTGACAGAAGGAGCTTCCAGGAGCACGTCAGATGTGAGCCGGGCCCTCCTGGACCCGCAGAGCAGAGAAGACACCAGCACATTCCCACCCACCTTGAGGTGGGCACTGGCAGAAGCCTGGTTGGCTCACAAGGCCCAGCATCCTGGCAGCCAGTTTGGCCAGGGCCATGGTGGGTAAGTGCCCAGGGCCTGAGAGCTTCCAAACACCCACAGGACTGTAGTACACCCTGAGGCCTCTTCACCTGCCCATGCCCGTAGGGGCATCTGTCACTGAAAGCAGCAGTCCCCAGGTGGGAAAGTCCAACAGTGGAGATGCGACGGCCAGAGGGCAGGGAGAGAGGGCGCAAACAATGAATGCTGGTGGCGCATGTACTCTGTTCCCCCATGTGCTAAGTCTCTGGACTCAATCTGTTTTGCAAAAAAATTGTTCAGGTGCAATACAGAAGAGACTAAGAAAGCACCAGTGAGGACCAGACTGTGGCAGGAATAAAACTGCTAGTCTTCTACCTTGGTCCTCTGGCCCCGCCATAGACGTGAGGTCCAGAACGACACAGGCCAGGGAGGCAGGGTGTCCGAGGGCAGGGCGTTACCAGTGTCTTCAGGAATGGGCTAGGGAAGGAAGGCCCCTGAGAGGGCCACAGCTGGAAGGCGTGAGCTCCAAGGGCCAGCAGTGTCTGGGGAAGAACCCCACTTTAGGCACCAGCCAGGTTCTGAGTGTGAGGGTGGCAGTTGGGTGAGGGGACACCCTGGCCTCCCTTCATGGCCCTGAAAGGGACAGGAAGCAGGGGTGAGGACTGTCCGGACTCCATGATTAACCCCGAGGGCTCAGCCAAGTCTGTGCCTCTCCCACAGGTGCGTTCAGCCGTGAGGAAGAGGTGGCACAGGTGGCGGGATCATCACTCCCTCCGTGTCCCCGGGACCCGGGCCATGTCCATCCCCACCTCACCCACGCGGATCAGCTTCCACAGCATCAAGCAGACTGCCACTGTGTGATCCCCAGTGTCACCACCTCGCCTGCCACTCTGTGGTTGGGACAGCTTCCCCATCCTCCACCGCCCACTCTGGGCGCTCCTTGCCACGCAGCCCTGGTGTGGACAGAAGGGAGGGGAGAGCCCAGCTCTCCAGCCTGTGTGGCGGTGGCAGCACAGGGGGCTCCCAGGACCAGGGCCAGCGGGGTGGGAGCACAGAGGAAAGGTCACAGGAAGTCCGGAGAAGATCGGGGCACCGTCTTCAGGCATCTTCAGGCATTTGTGCACACCAGCTTCTCATGCTACACCTTTCATGGTCGCCCCACTTGCAGAGGAGGAAACTGAGGCCCAGAGCCAGGAAGGGCCTGCCCAAGTCCTGCATCTTGTTCGTGGTGGACCTGGGCTCTCTGCCCCACTCATGGTGTGGGCCTTGCTCTCAGCAGCAGGGATGGCCCTGCTCCCTGCCTGCAGCCTCTGTGCTCAGTGGCGCCTTCTGTAGTCAAGGGGAGACACAGCAGCTGAAGTAAAGGGTCAATTAGGAGGGTTTCATCCCAGGGCCTCATGCCTAAAGAAACCTGTGACCCAGCCATCCCCTTCCCCCTGGGGCTTCCTGAAGAACATTGACTTCTCTCTGGGAGATTTCCTCCCAGCCTAGTTCACAGATTGGGCTAGGGACAGGGCTTGTGGAGGGCCAGGCGAGGAGGACAGCCATGCCTAGGCCAATCAGATACAGTGGCGAAGCCCAGGGGACAGGCCAGGACAAGGAGTGGGGTGGGAAGAGCAGAAACAGAATGCATCTTTAGCGATCAGAGTTATTTCCCTAGCCCCCACCTGAGACAGACTTAGCCTCCCCTTCAGAAACAACGTCCCTACTCTAAGATACAAACCACGCCTCTGGGGAGACAACCTCCCAAAGGGGAGCAGACCAACATCAAGGCTGGAGGGTTAGGTCCACTCCTGTTTGCAACTCGGGCCCTGGCCTGGGGCCGGTTCCCTCTCTCTGACCTGAGCATGGGCAGGTGTGGGAGCAACTTTCTCACAAGTCCCCCCGAATGCCACAGACACGAGTGACATGACGGTGATCTGTTTGGGGAGGAGAAGTGGGCTGTGGCCAGTTTCTCAGGGGAGACAAAGGCCAGCAGTGGCCACTTTCTCCAAGGAGAAAAAGGCCCTGAGCCTCCTGCTCTAGGGCTTTTATTGGGTTTTAATACACAGGAATACAGGGCGGCAAGGATCAAACAGTACATATATTTCAAAGATATCTGATGGCTTACTATGAGTCAGAGTTGGTCAGAAACAGAGTTTTAGGGTTTCTTGCTCAAACCCTGAACATATGAATGAAAGCACTCTTAGCAGAGCAGATTTCACAGGTTTATCAGTAAGTCTTTGTGATGCCAGATTTTCCCCCAGGACACGCTCTAGCAGAGCAAGAAGCTGCACCTCTCCCCAACAGGTATTCAGGCTTAAGGGGATTAGAGCCAGGAAGCGCTTCTCCCAGAGAACATGGGGACTCAGGCCATCTCAAAACCAGGGGGCGAGAGTCTATTGCTCTCTGTTGCAGTCCCCCCCACCCAGTCCGTCCATGAAGGCCTCCCAAGTGATCAAGTCTGGCTTAGGTTGCCCCCCACTGTGAGGGGTCTTACCCATCATCAACTTCCAACTAAGCTTTGGGGGCAGGGAGAGGAACTGAGGCAGCGTTTTCTACCAGAGACAAGCTTTGTCTCCTGTGGCTTGCATTCCAGAGGTTGTCCCTCGCCCTTAGCCACAAGGGGTAGAGATACAATTCCTAAAACCAGGCAGAGCGGTCTACAAACAGGCAGGTCTGACCCTTATCATTCCCCCAGGACGATATCTGCCCCTTCTCCCCAACCAAGGGCAGCGGAAAGCAGTAGAGGCAAGGTGCAGCCCACCCAGCACGTCAAGGCCTGTCCCAGGGGCCCAGGTTCTGGAATCTGGAGGAACAGGTGGACAAAGCTCCCTGGTCTCCATGACCATCCACTACGGGGCCTCCCGGCTCCACACCCACCGCCCTGCAGGGGAGGCCGGGGGCCCCGGGCAGGAGGAGCCCCGGGGCCAGGGTTCAAAAGGGCTTTTGCTCTTGGTATGCCTCTCCCACCCCCAATTTTTAAAATTAGATATCTTATCTTACACATTTTTAAGTTGACATTTAATATTTTCTTTACCCGGCTTTTAAATCATGCAAGAGATGTGATTTCAGGCATTTGGTAAATATAAAACAAAACTGCTACAACACTTTAAAAACCTCATACGGACTCCAAACACAGCAGTGAATGAACACCTACACTCATCTATTTAAAAAAAAAATAGAACTGGCTCTTCTTTAATGGTGAAAAATTCCACATGGTTTCTTTCTCTTTGAACTTATATCTCCATTCCATTTCCCCCTATAGAATTTTACATGAATGCAGTATTTTTTTTATCATAGAAAGTCTTTCATTGGCCACTTCACCATATTCATCTGCCACAAACTATATTTAGAAATTGAAATAAAAATTCATTTCCTGTGACTGGAGGTTCTAAAGGGTTTTTTTAAAGACTTCTAAATAATAGAGTATGACAACTATTTTTTCATATGAAATATAAGTATAGGATTGAGGAACACCACATGTAATTGTTAAACTTAGGAAGGAAAATATTGAAAATACATCGTAATGAAATGGACAGGAATGTAACTGTTCATGAGCCTGTGGAGGAGCATTTATTACAAGAATGAATCAGGACTCAGCATCATCTGCCTTTTTTCATTCTGTGAGGACCGCTGCACCTGCCAAGAAGACTTTGCCCAAAAATAAGAATTTGCTCGATTCTCTGAACTCCTGAGAAGTATGCCAAAAAATGCGTGGACATTCACTGCCACAAATGATCTGTCAGCTGGCCACTTGAAGAAGTGCTTTTTCAACTTGGTTAAAAACACGAATCAAGCATTTGCAGACTTGGCCCAGGGCCTTGCTGCCCTGGCAGGCACTCGTTCAGTTTCTCACCATGGACACCGCAGTGCCAGCAGGTGCCTGGCCCGGGCCTGAGAGGCGTTAAGCACTGGGGAGGTGGTGGGGTGCCCCAACTTCATTCCTTCCTGGGAGGCAGAATCCACGTGGGTCTCAGAAGGCCTTTCTGTGTGCATGAGGTTGCCTGACGGCCGCTTCCCGCAGCATCATGGGGGCTCTTGTAGAGCAAGGAATCATCAGTGGCCGGGCTGCTGAGGCCACCTGGAGAGCCCTGCTGGCCACAAGAGGCTAAGGCTCATCAGCCTGCGGTGAGCGGCCACCGCAGAACCCAGGCCCTGACAGAGCCTGGGGCCAAGGCCCAGCCAGACACTCGTCACCACTGGTCAGGTGCATGCCCGCTCACCACCCACTTTCTGAAGGGCTTGCCCTGTTCCCAGTGGGACGGTGCCCTGCCGCCTTTCCAGGTAGAGGAGGCCCCTCCTAGGTCCTTTGCTGCCCCTGCATCTGCTCATTGTGGGGGCCCCTGGTCATGGCCCCCACGGAGCTCTGGCCTTGAAATGCCACCAGAGCCGTAGGCTCTCTCGTGGTTCCCCCGTGGCTTGGCAGCACCGGCCACACCAGCCCTCCTTAGCGTCTCCACCCCTCGCTGAGCTGGCCTTTCAGGAAAGTGTCCACGCTAGCAGGCTCCCCTCTGTAGCTGGTAGGTTCCACACCGAGACCCTTCCATTCAGGGCTTTAGGGTCTCCTGTTTAACCCTTTCCCTCCTCACCCCCATTCACCAGAGAGGAGACCTGGCCCTTAGCAGGTCTGCCTGGGCCTGGCCTGTAGTGTGTGGGTTCCTGACCTTGTGCAGAAATGATTTCACAGCACAAGTGCAAGTGATGTTGAGAGAATGCTTGGTAAAGCTGGGACAGTAACACAGGAAGCACCGAGGGTAGGAGAAGCAACAGGAGAGAGCCCGGGCTGGCCTGCTTTGGTTCACCAGAAAGTCAGAGACAAGGGGGCCTTGGAGACAGTTCCGGGGGGTTACTTTCCTGGCTGCAAGTCTTGTGGGCCCCTTAGTGCTTAGGAGATGCGTGCCCGAGAGGGAAGAGAGGGGAGGGAAAGGCTCAGTTTGGCCCTTTATTAGAGGGTTGTTAAAGGCTGGAGTTTAGGGGATGATCTCAATAGAAAATCCATCAGTTCTCCAGATGTGCCCTCCCAGGGTCATGGTCTCCACTGATTGGTCAGCACCAGAGCAGGGGGTCATTAGTCGCTGCAGCTGGGCCTGGTATCGCCCCACCTGGTTTTGCTGTTTCTCTGGGCCTGGAGCTGAAACACAGCCGAGGCCTGGATGTTGTTTGTTGTTATCTCCGGGAAGGTGACCTTCTGTGTGTGGCTGAATTGCTCAGCCAGTTTGTTCAGCTCTGTCTCAGTTTCCCCATTCCACTTGCCAATAAATTGTCCTGGCCACTTCCACAGGGTAGCAGGTACTACCCTGCTTCACCCCCACCTCCACAATTAATAAAGCTGGGGAGACATGCTCACAGGGGTGGTCCTCACACAGGCCACCGGCCCCACAGCCACTGAGACCACAGACCCAGCCCGGCTCCAAACCCAGGGACCATCATCCGAGTGGGGCCAGAAAGTGCCTGCTGGGGTAAGAGCCAGTAATGAAAAACAGGCCAGCAGGAGGGGCAGAAATGTCACGGAGGTCTGAAGCCACAAGCCCCCCAGCCTCCTGTGGAGGGGACAAACCCGCGGCAGAAAAACACTTAGGGTGGATGAAGACACTGGCAGAAACTGACCTCCAACGTGGAGACTCGTGGGGAGATGTGGACACACACAGAAGCTCTCCGACTGGGACACGAACACTCCCGGGCGCAGTGGGACGCCTAGGGACACGTGGAGGTGGCACAGAGGCCCTGCCAGTCATCCCTTCCCACTTACCGAGCCCCACCACGTGCCAGCACAGAAATAACACCGTGTGTAAGACAAGGCTCCTGGTTCAAGAAACTCAATCTGATTGAAAAGAAACAGCCCCCAAACAGTACGAGGTGAAAGCAGAAGTGTTGGTGCTGTGTGTTCACCTGGGTGGGTGTCTCAGCATCTACGTCTGTCTGTCCTGGTGGAAAGAAGGGGGTCAGGCCTGCGGACTGAACACAGATGAGCATCTGCCACCTGCACCTGCTTGTTCCACGTCTGAGCCACACCCATGGTGGCCTCAAGCAGGCAAGGTTATGGGACACAAGAACCTCAGCCCACACCCTATTTCTTTCCTACTTCCCACTGACCTGGACTGGGATGTCCCAGACTGCCTCAGAGACAGACAGACAGACAGACAGACGGGAAAGGAGCCAGTGTCTGCTGCTCTGGCTTCCTGAGCACCCTGAGAGCCCCGCGGCAGGTGGGGTGCGTGTGCAGTGCGGCAGCTGGATGAGAAGGGGGCTTTCACAGGAGGGACTGATGAAGGGCGGGCTCTGGGCAAGTTGTGCCTTTCCATGTCTGTGACCCTCGAGGAGCAAGTCTGGGGGCTTTGCGGTCCAAGGGGAGTCCTTCCCTAGAGGAACGTTTCAGCCAGGCTCAGGGCGAGTTTTGTGGGAAAGGCAGAGAGCCCACTCACTGCTCAGGCCACGCCTGGTTTCTCATCAGAACCAACAAGGCTGCTCATTGGAAGCAGACTCTGGGAACCTGTTTCCAGGTGGCATGGGACCTAAGAGGCTGAACCTTCAACAATCCCCCAGGTGATGCAGCACCTCTCTTCCCACAGCCCCACCCCCACACGGCTACCGTAGAAGGCTGAAGTGAGGGGCCTACCTTTCTGGAAACCTCTAAGAGAAGGCAGCGGTAACAGGAGTGAAAGGGGCAGGTTTAAAAGATATGAATTTATACCTCAGTATGGTCCGTATGGCTTCCAGGCTCCGCCCCTAAGGTGCCAGTAAATCTCCTGGGAGCCATCCTGGGTGCCCCACTTGGAGAATTAGGCAGAAGGGATAGGGGAAGGTGGGCTCAGGTTTTTGCGGGTGCTGACTGCAACACCTCCAGCTCTTTTCCATACGGGTTTCTTTGCTTAGAGCTTAAAGCCCTCCCACTGCAGAGCTATTGCAGTGGCCCCCTAACCCCTGGGTGAGGAGGTGTGAACTTGCACTTCTACTTGTAGGGACCCAGGAGTGGACCTTGTGCAGGAGGGCCGGGGAGCCGTGGGCGCACCAGGCTTTTCACCTGCCGCTGGCCTGCCTCCCTCCATGCCCACCGAGCTCCCCGTGATGGCTGCTCACCTCCCGGTTTTAAGGCTGGGACTGTGAATGGCTGGAAGGCTCACTGTTGAAGCCTTTCTTCCCCCCTCAAGATTTTATTTTTAGAGAGAGGGGAAGGGAGGAAGAGAGAGAAGGAGAGAAACATCAATTGGTTCCTTCCCATACACACCCCAACCAACCTTGAATCGAGCCAGCAAACTTTTGGTTTGAGAGACTAACTGAGCCACACTGGTCAGCACTCACTGTTGAGACTCAGAGTGGACTGGGACGGGCTCACGGAGGGGACTCCTGAATCAAGTCCCAAAGGAGGTGCGAGTAGCTGGCTGTGAGGGTAAGAGGAGGAAGCCCTGCCGACCTGCGGAGGCGGAGGCGCAAGGACCTGCCCAGGTGTGCTGGGGCAGCAGGAAGAGTGCTGGGCCTGCCTGCGTGTGGTTGGCAGGGAAGAGTGGGGTGGGGTTGCACAGGTGTTATTCTTGAGTAAGAAAAGGCCCTGAGTTTTTAGGCCGAATGGGAACATCAGGTGATGGGTTGAAAACAGACTGAAGAGGCGAGAGTACCAGCAGGGAACTGAGATTAAGAGTGTTTTGCAGTAAACTAGGTGGGAGATGGTGGTGGCTTGGACCAGGGCAGGTAGTCGGGCTCCGAACATCGAGTGAAGACGGCTGACGGCTGGATGCAGCCTTCGGAGAGGAGACCTGCGTGGAGGAGCTGTCGCCAACCGAGACGACAGCTTAATGGGGGTACCAGCTTGCACACTTCAGAATTCTTTTCAGAAAAATGGAAGGTCCGGTCTTGGTTTTAAAAAGAATGTTGATAAAGATTTTTAAAATCTTGTCAGTTCCCGCCCTCCACACTTTCCCACCACCTCATTTTGCTTAATCTATCAATTAGCTGCTACACAGATACAGAGCAGTGGGTTTTGATGAGCCAGAAATGGCTTTAATTAGAGTAAGTGGTTTTAGTTAGCATCGCTGCTGTTGCACTAATTGGTGATTGAATGTTAAGACCTAACACAAGCAGACACTGGCGGGAAAAACTATGCGGGTCACTTCTGCTTCAAGCCCTGAGCCTTACCAGAGGAGGGCAGGGAGGGACCTTTGAGAGAGAGCCCGGCTCTTTCTTCCTAGGCTCAAGCACCTTTAGGTTCAGACTCAGGCTGAGGCTTGGACACAGGGCACGGAGGGTTGGAGCGGAGCTATCACAGCCAGGTCCTGGGAGAATCAGGACTAGAATCCACCTCATTCCCAGCACAGAGCTCACGGAACCCCTCTGCTCTTCGGTGGCTGGCACC